CGGCATAAACGTACGCTTTCGGAGGTCAGCGCGGACTTCTTGGAGCTGCGCTGGTCCCCGCCCCCTGGCGCGCGGAGCGCGCCAATGGTTGCTGGCGTTCGGGCGCCGATCCAAGATCTCTGGCCGGAGCTCCGAAAATTCACGTTCATGGAATTGTTGTTCTTCGAGTGATCCTTCCGGTGCCCTCGCGGTCGAAAAACCGAAAGAGGGCCATCATCTGCTCCCTGTTATCCCTTCCGAGCATCTTCTTGGTCATCATGCTCATGAACTCATCCAGGTCGATCTCGCCGCTGTCGTCGGCGTCCACGTCGGCGATCATGCGGTTGATCTCCTCCTCGGAGGCGTCGAAACCCAACTGCTTCATTGCCACCCCCAACTCCTTGGCGTCTATGGACCCAGAGCCGTCGGTGTCGAAGAGCTCGAAGGCCTCCTTTATGTCGGTCAACTGGTCCTCGGTCAACTCTTTCACCTGCTTGGACGCCCGAGATGAGTACGAAACACATGGGCACGATGCCCAATAACAAGTGTTATCGAACATCGACAGCAACCGTTGTTGGCCAGGCGGCCTTTGTGTCCCCGATGGACAGCGCCCGCGGCGGTGCTGACAGCGATCACTGTTCAAAATGAACAAGAGCAACTGTTGGTCTTCGTACTCACTTTTTCCTCACTTCCGTACCAATACCGTTCGTGCCGGTCCCAAGAGAAAAAGACAACTGTATAAACGTAACCATCCAGAGGTCCGCGCGGACTTCTTGGATCTTTGCTGGGCCCCCGTCCATGGCGCGCGGAGCGCGACAGGGGCGGGGCGGAGGCGCCGCCAGGGGGGTCCAACTCCGATCGAAGAAGTCCGCGCGGAGCGCCAAACGTTTAGGTTGACGCTGCTGTTCCAGAGATCCGATGCTTTGATTTCTTCAATGCGTGGCCCCCGAAATCCCGACCCCTTCCGCAGGGCCAACTTCTTAATTCCATGTTTTTTTTTGACGGCCCTGGGGCCCGGCGAGGGCCCCCCGAGGCCGAAAACGATAAAAAAACATGTAGATTGAACTATTCAATACCCTGAGGACCCTGAGGAGCAGGAGGAGGAGGAGGAGGAGGAGGAGGAGGAGGAGGAGGAGGGGGACGAAGCGGGAGAAGCAGGCGGAGAAGGAGGAGCAAGAGGAGGAGGAGGAGGAGCAGGAGGAGGAGGGAGAGGGGAACGACGAGGCAGACGCGGAGGACCGATGAGGAGGGGGGAGAAGCAGGAGCAGGAGCAGGAGCAGAGGCAGGAGGAGGAGGCATGGGAGAGGAGGAGGAGGAGTGAGGAGGAGGAGGAGCATGGAGGGGGCGGTGGAGGAGGATGAGGAGGAGGAGGAGGAAGGAGGAGGAGGAGGAGATGAGGAGGAGGAGAGGAAAGGAGCAAGAGGAGCAGGCGCATGCGCAGGGCAGGAGGAGAAGGAGGAGGAGAGGAGGAGGAGGATGGGGGGGGGAGGGCAGCCGCACAGCATGAGGAGTTGGGAGGTGGGAGGAGGATGAGAAGGAGGAGAAGCAAGAGGAGGAGGAGGAGAGAGGAGGAGGAGGAGGAAGAGGAGGAGGAGGAGGAGGAGGAGAGTAGGAGTAGGAGTAGGAGTGGAGGAGGAGGAGGAGGTGGTGAAGGAGGAGAGGAGGAGGGGAGGCGTGGAAGGAGAGGAGGAGGGCCAGAGCAGGAGCAGGAGGAGGAGGACGATGAGCAGAAAGAAACAGGGGGGGGGGGAGGATCAAAACGAAAGACCCTCGTCGAGGTTACTCGAGTGCCCCTCGCCTTGTTGTTCGGGCGCCGCCGCAGGGCCATCCCCCAGCAGGGGCGGGGGGCCCGGGCGTGCGAGCCCCGGCGGCTAGCCCCCGCGGCGGCGCAGCATTTGGGGCGGAGCGCGGCGGGCGCTCCGTCGGCGCAGGGGGGGCACCTTTGAGCCTTTGCGCCCGATAGCCAAAATGGCTCGAGCGGAAAACGGCCGCATGAGGATGATGGTGATGATGATGATGATGATGATGATGATGGTGATGATGATGATGATGATGATGATGACGATGACGATGACGAGGATGATGGTGATGCTGATGCTGATTATGATGATGATGACGGTGGCGATGACGATGACGAGGATGATGGTGATGGTGATGGTGATGGTGATGGTGATGGTGATGGTGATGATGATGATGATGATGGTGATGATGATGATGATGATGATGATGATGACGATGACGATGACGAGGATAATGGTGATGCTGATGCTGATTATGATGATGATGACGGTGGCGATGACGATGACGAGGATGATGGTGATGGTGATGGTGATGGTGATGGTGATGGTGATGGTGATGATGATGATGATGATGGTGATGATGATGATGATGATGATGATGATGACGATGACGATGACGAGGATAATGGTGATGCTGATGCTGATTATGATGATGATGACGGTGGCGATGACGATGACGAGGATGATGGTGATGGTGATGGTGATGGTGATGGTGATGGTGATGATGATGATGATGATGATGATGATGATGATGATGATGATGATGATGATGACGGTGGCGATGACGATGACGAGGATGATGGTGATGGTGATGGTGATGCTGATCCAGCTGATGATGGTGGTGATGATGATGATGGTGGTCATGATGATGATGATGATGCGAATGATAATAGGGGAAAACGATGTCTGATTCAACAAAAGAAGCCCCGCCGGGGGGGGGGCAACATGAATGAGCGGGGCGGACTAATTGGAAATCAACCGCCGGGAATTGTTTTTTCATCGCTTGCCCCCCGCGGCGTTTTTCTGCCGTCGCGCGGGGACTGATTTTCTATTCGCCCCCCTGCGCTCGCTTGATCAACCGCGGCGGCGGGGCGGGATTGCGGAGAGAGGAGGGGTAGGGGATGGGCGAGGGAGGGCGCTGTCGAAGAGGCGGAACAGCTGACGCAGCGCGCGCGCTGTCGCAAGAACCGCGGCGATGAAAACTGTGCTTTGACTCGCTCCCCCCATCCCCGCGTGCGCTTCCGAACGCGCGATTTCACGGAAACGCCACGTCGGCGTTGTATTCTCGCAGCTGCATGATGGAGACAGAAACGGAAGAGGAGAAGGAGGTGGAGGAGGATAAGGGGGTGCAGAAAGCCCTCGGAGCTTCGAAGGCCCTCGGGGGTCTTCTGAATCGCCGTCGCCCTTGCACTTGCGGACGGCCGCGGCGATTGGGAGGAGGGGGTGGTGGGGGTGCATGAGAAGGAGGAGGGTGGAGGAACACCAGGAGCAGGAGAAGGATGACAAGGAGAGCAGGAAGGCGAGGAGGAGGAGGAGGAGGAGGAGGTGGAAAACGAGGTCGATGTTTAAAAAGGCGGCGCAGACTGTCTGCCTTCCGCGCAAGGCTGGCGTTCGAGGTCGTCGTGTAAGGGCGGCGCGGCGGATTTTGGCCTCTGCTCTCCGCGCGAGGCCGGCCGCAGGCAGCCCCGCCGCGGCCTCGAGTCGTCCGCCCCTGCGGCTTCGAAACGGCAGCCCGCGGGGTCCTCCCCACACGGCCAGAGACAGGCTGCTTCGGCCTGCCCGGCTCGGAATCGCGGGGTCCTCCCCACACGGCCAGAGACAGGCTGCTTCGGCCTGCCCGGCTCGGAATTGCCCCCCCCCCCCCCCCCCCCCCACCCCCCGACCCTCCCCCGACTACCTACCAGACCAGCCCAACCCGACCCGAATACTCGAATTTGACCCGAACTTCGGGTTGGGGGGGGGTCTGGGTTCCCGGTGTTTTTTGTTGCAAATGTTCCCCGACCCCCCCCACTGGAAATGGAGGGCACATTGAAGCCGTCGGACTGGGTTGGTTGAGCAGGGACCGACCGTCCTGGCATTTCTGTAGTCCTACCACGAAATGTTCTTAGAACCCGACAGTGTTCCAAGAACAACACGAATGTTCTTAGAACACAAGCCCGCCGTGTCAAAACGAGACAGTCCCAGCCAGAACTGTTCTGAGAGCATCTCGCGGGAACCACGAAAAGTTCTTAGAACATTGTTTGGTAAGACTATAGTCGGGTCGGGCGAAAGGGGGGGATAGCAAAGGGGGGGTTTGAGAATCAGCTCACGTAGCTGATTTTCCCGGCGCCTCCCGGCGCTGGAGGCGACTATGTATCGAGGAATGGGCCCCTCAGTGAGGCCGAAACCAGCTGCATACAGCAAATTTCGTAACCCCCCCTTTCCCAATCCCCCCCTTTCGTCCGGCCCGATATCGGCGAGCCAGGACGCTTCGCCACTGCCCGAGTTGGGGTCCAGAACAGCCCCGCAGTGTCCGTCCGGCGTCTGCCTGCCCCGCCGCCCCGCCGCCGCGGGCGGGGGCGCGGAGGCCAGCGAGACGCCTTGCCCGTCGCCTGCCCCGGATGTTCTCGCAGGTCGCTCGCCCCCATCAGTGCTACGAAGACGGTGATCATGTTCATGGTGATGATAACGACAGTGATGCTGGTGATGATGACGATGGTGATGCTGCTGCTGATGCTGATGCTGATGCTGATGATGATGATGCTGATGATGATGATGATGATGATGCTGATGATGATGAGGGTGATGATGATGATGATGCTGATGATGATGCTGATGAGGGTGATGATGAAGATGCTGATGCTGATGCTGATGCTGATGCTGATGGTGTTCCTGGCTCCAGGTATCCCTCGCCCGGGGGGTGCTGGAAGTGTCCCTGGCTCAAGGTGCCCCCAGCTTGTCGCTCCGTGTTGGAACCTCTGGGGCCCTCTGGGCCTCGTGGGTGGTACTTTCTGGAGGCCGTGGGGAACTCGCTGGAACTCCTGGGAGCACCCTGGGCCAGGGACACCTCTAGCAACACCCGACCTCCGACCTTTGAGTCTCCGCGCCCGAGGGCCAAAACGGCTCGAACGAAAAATGGCCGCGGGCCGTCTGGTGGCGGTGTCGGGGCAGTGTGGGGGCGTCCTGAGACGAACAACGAATGCCTTTAGATTTGCCATCGCTCGGACGTCCATTCCCCGCGCATTGTTCGGTATCGTGCGTGCATTTTTGCCTCGATGATCCAGGACGCTCCTCGATGGTCCTCGCCGAGAAGAAAATGCACACGTCCGAGCGATGCCAAGCTTCAGAGGAATAACGAGCGACTTAAGTATGAACTTTTGGAGGTCGGCGCGGATTTCTTGGATCGGCACTGGACCCGCCTCCCTGGCGCAAGGCGCGCGCCCGGGGCGGCGCCGGAAGCGCCGCCTGGGAGCTTCAACGCCGATCCGAGAAGTCCGAGCGAACCACCGAAACGGGGGGCATGTTCGACGCCCTAGTCGTCCCCCTGGGCATCTTCCTCTCGCTGTTCATCGCCGGGTGGGCGCTGAGAACTGTCTTGGGAAGGTGGCAAATCTGAACAAATGCACGCTTCGGGGCGACTCGAGGGAAGCGCATCCTCAGGGCGCCCTCAATTCATCGACAATGATTTCGAGCGCCTCGGCGGTAGACCAGGCCCCGGACAATGTGGGTACTCTACATTGCGCTGCCAGGGTACGGCCTCCTCGGGGGCATCACCATGAAGTGCATGGAGGTGCTGGGCCGTTTGCGGGCCTTGGTCGCCTGTGTGCTTCAGTGTTTCGAGCTGTGCTACTTGTGGGGCAAGTCCAGCGGTAAGACTGCAGACCACCTGAAGCAGAAGGGCAAACAGGCGAGGACCAGGGGATGGCACCCTCGCCGCAGACGCCCCTCACCCGGGAAGACCAGTGCGGCGCAGGCCGGGAGTACGACGACCGGGGGCTCTTCGTCTACTTCGGGATCAGCGCCAGGGACAGAGGAGGCAGAGGAGGCTGAGGGCGAGGAGGAAGACGCGCATGAGGCTGAGGCTGCAGTGCGTGAGGAAGAGGTGCATGAGGAAATGGTGGAGGAGGCGACCACACACCCCGCTGGCAGTGAAGACTTCTGGAAAACGAGGGAGCTGAGAGGAGGAGCGCCGCCGCAGGGCAGCGACCCGGTGCGCGACCTGTGCGACGCGCTGTCCAAGGTCCTGGCGGGATAAGCGGACGGCAAGAACAGGAAGGGGAACGGAGCTCCCACGAGGAGGCCAAGGCGCAGCGAATGGGCGAAGTGATCAACGCGATCAAAAAAGCCCTCAGCAGTGCCACGAAGGGAAGCTGGAGCATGGAGCAGTTGATCGAAGACCTCATGGGCACGATCGAGAGTTTTCGGGCCCTGGGCAGCAACCAGGAGGAAGACGAGGCCGAGGAACGGAGGCGCCCTCTAGACCCAGCCCGGCCAAAGGAAGCAGCCGCGGAGGTGGCCGAACGGAGGACGACAAGACGAGCAACCACCCGCGGCTGTCCCGGCTCGTCTGGAAGAGCGGGGCAGTCTTCACGCACTCGGCGTGCAGCCAGGCGATGGCCGAGGCGGACGAGGAGGCGGTGAAGAACGCCGAGGTCATCCTCGCGCGACCTGACCAGGTCGCTGCAGTGCGGGACCTGGCGTCGGCGCAGCAGTGGAGCGCCAAGGTGGGCGTCCTGGTATAAGTCGGGGGCAAACCGGACTATTAAGCCGCAGAATTGCCCTACAATCGTGATGACGTGGCTCCGCGACGAAGGACAGGGGGCAGGGAGAGACCGTGGAAGGGTGCTGGATCGTCCTGCTGGATGAAGCCCAGGGCCTACAACTGAGAATGGGCGGCACAAGGCTCACCAGAGCACAGGGCGTCGTCGCCAACAAGAACAACGAGACCGAAAAGCTCGTCACGCTCAGGGTGACGGTGGTCCAACGGTTTGCGTCAGAACCCGCGTGGAAGACTTCCACGCTGTCTGCCTTCCACAGCCTGTGGGACACGGCCGGGGTGACCCAGAGGTCTGGGCACGGGATTCTCGAGAGAGCGCGGGCGACAAAGCACGCACGCGCTTCGCGACACTCCAGAAATCCAAGGCTGCATCCGTTCTTTGGCGGCGCGCACAAGGGGGTGGAGGGAGGGGGGAGGGCTTCTT